ATATATATATGGAGAGACAGTGGCAAAGAAAGGAAGGGGAAGTATGTAGCTACACGGTCACATCTATCATAGCCAAAGCATTTGTCACGTGAGGGACAACGTGATTTCATTTTCCTGTCGCCATAAAGGTGACACATTGCATTCGTATTGCCTTGGTCCATTTGTTGTGTATTCGTATTAGTATTAGAATATGTACATGTATGTGCGGGTGCAAGTGTGTGTGTGTCTGGTAAATGATATGCCATCAGGAATTTGCAGCAAGGAGTATTTCTCTTGCTGAGGAAGAAGCATCCATCCATGGCCGCTGATCAGGGCGCATGCTTAATAAATACTGAAGCATACTATCTCCGACCGACAAAAAAAAAAGGCAGAAGGAGGAAAAGCACTTGCAATTTATTCAACGCTACGGTCGGGCGAGCGAAAAGCGGTTGGTGTTCTATTGATTTTCATGGGTACAAGTACAAGCCGGATAACATGTTGTTAAACCACAGCAGCGCGAGCAAACAAATTACCCACAGCAGTTGGCCAAAAATTGTTCAACATAACTTCAGATTTTATGGCCCACATGTGTGTGAGTTGGTGGAAGTGCTGGAGATATACGAGTGTGTATGGATATTCAGTGGGTTGTCCAGGCTGGCAGACAGAAGGTGTAGGGTGGAGGGTGGCCGGGACCCAAAAGCACACAGTTTACTATCAATTCTGTGCTCGTGTTCTATGTGGCTGTGAAATTAGCGCTTCACTGAATTCCTTTACCACACCACAACGAGACAAGAAGCTCCTCCAGCTCCTCCAGCTGCTCCTTTTGTTCCCCCTTCAAAAACCTGGCCAGCAACGACTGGGGCTTAGACCAACGTTGCAACGTCTATGGCCTTCGCCTTTCGCCTTCTCCCTCGTCGTTTGCGGCTTGGCCAAGTTTCATGTCAAAAGTGCACTCCATGAATATTTCACTTGCAATCACATTGTTTTGCCGCTAACTTTTTAGATTGTTTTAACATGTGGCGGAAATGGGCGTGGCATTAGGTGGGATACGATAGGATGGATGAGGTGGCAGAGTCCTGAAGCCAGTGCCACGTAAAGTAACGTAACAAAAACAACAATAACAGCAGCAGCAGCAGCAGCAGCAGCAGTATCAAACTTTGGTTTTCACTCAATTTTGGCAATGCTTGCCACAACCTACTAGCCTTCTCACTCTCCTCTAACCCCCCTCAAACCCTCGCTTTGCTTCGCTCGGAAAACAGTTGGAAAATTGTGTGTATGCGCTTGGTTCATGTGTGTTCATGTTGAGGTAATCCCTGATTCCCATGCGCTAAATTTGGTAGTTCAACTCGGTTCAGTTCCCTATCGCCAGTTTGCCCTTTGTGCAGCGAACAGTTTAATACTGCACGGAATTTGGGTATTTCACTCCCCTCTATCCCACAGAATTGGGTTTTTGCTTCTGGTCTGGCCGATATATGGGAGATTTATGTAGCCCAAACAGACAGACAGACAGACAGACAGACAGATGGCTGGATGGATGGATGTATGGACGAAGAGAGAAAAAGTGGTAGAAATGGTACGATAGTAGAGCCGACATTTTCGGCCACTTTAGGATAAGTAGCCGCTCAAAAGATATTACGTGTTTGCTCTTGGCAACTGCCAGGAAATGCACTTGCTCTTTTTCGCTTCATCCCCCGCTGAGTTTTCGCCAGGACAGCCGCAGGAGAGCCTTTTCCTTTGCCAAAGCGCACTGGATTTAAGTTTGCTTCAGCTTCAGCTTTCAGTTACTTTTCGCAACTCCACGCGGCGTTTAATGAATTTTCATTTTTTCCCAGCTCCCACTTTGTCGCTGTTCCTTCTGCCTGCTCCCAGGATGCCTCCAGGGTGGGCGGTGGGCGCAGGCAAATGCTCAACAAGCTGCCGCCGCCGTTTCATTTGTCGCTCCATGTTTTGCAGCTCCATCTCCGGCATGCCACACGGGACGCGCGGCCAGGTGTTTCGCCGAGCACTCGAAATTACAACAGCAGCAGCAGCGGCAGGCGGCAGTGGCAGGCGGCAGCGGCAGCCAGAAGTTGCAACTATTTTTATATTTTATGCACTTTGCGTGCTACCAAAAATTGTGTTGGCATGGTTTTCCTTTTTTTTGCGGGGTGCCAGAGCGTTTACCCTCCCCCAGGAGTGGGTCGCCAGCAGTGGGCGTCACTGAAGGTCAGTGGGCGGCGGATTGGACCTGCAACAAAACCGAATAAAAACTTGTTTGATAATTTTCTACTCAAATTGAATACTTGCAACTGTATGTGCTGCTGCAAACTTTTCTTATTCTCTGCGAATAACTTTAATGGAAAAACTTTGAATATCAAACCGCAAAAACAAAAAATACTTCTTCTGGTGAATGGAAAAGAAGGGTGGAGAAGTAGAGCCCACAGCGCCGAGCAGTCCCCACAATGGGCACTAAAATTGGAAAATTGAAATTGAATTGTACACACAGACATTCAGAAGGAGGGTGGGGGTGGGGGTGGGGAAAAAACTGACCAGACGGAAAAAACGAGATTCCAATTCCAACTTCCCACTGGGCCTCGGTTCAGTGAATGCATATTTGCCCCTGGGATCCTCATGAATTGGATGGAGGTCCAATCAAATAAATATGCAGAAATATGTCCATATGTATGTATGTCTATGTGGCACGCTCAAATTAGTGCCAGGCAGAGGAGTCAGCTCTCATCATCCACACAGACATTGCCACATATCAGTGCCCAAGTGGCACAAAGTCATTTAGTTTATTAGCACTCGAATGGCGAATGCTGGAATCCCCAGTCCCCAATCCCCAATCCCCAGACAATGGTCTGCCTGCCGGAAACCCTTTGCAGAAGGGTGGCGAGTGGGCGAAAACTTCAAAAGAGTGTCAAGGCGAACGTCTCCAGAGTAGAGAAATTGCTCTGTTCGACTGGCATTATTTCGTTATTATCCGCATCAAGGAGTCGATTGACAGGAGCACAGGCACGTGCTGCCAACGCCTTTATCCGGCTTGCGAAAATATTGTCACAGGAAAGGAGCCACAGCACAGAGACCGAAGCCAGGCTACAAAAGAAATTATATTTACAAGCCAGCAGCAGCAGCGACGCACAGGAGGGGGAAAAGCCAGTGAAAACAAAACACAAATAGGCAGGAGTCCGTACCGTGCCGAAATAAAGAAGAAGAAAACCGGAAAAAAAAGCAGCAAGGAAAAAATCAAATAAAATGCCAGAAACATGGCATTGAGGGAGGGTCCAAGTCCAAGTCCAAGTCCTGCCAGGTCCTGTCTTGCTTCCTGTCAGCCTCCCACTTTTGTGGCTCCGTTTTGGCCAAGTGCGTGCTGGCTGACTTTTGGCTTTACCTTCTGTCTCCTCCTGCCTCACGAGTGTTTCCACAGCAGATAAATACAACATTTGACACTTCATTATTGTGCCCGCAGCGTAATCGAATCAATTCAATTCCAGGACCTCGGCCTCGCCACGTCACCCTGGCCTTGTCATGGTGTCAAAAGTGCTTGGCCGGTCCTTGTGGTGCTCCTCTTGCGATGCCGCTGCCGCTGCCTGTCCTGTCCGCATCCTGTGACCCATTGTTCATCGTTTGGCAGAGCCCTACGAGCTCCAGGGCTCAAGGCAGCTTGCCCTGTTGACACATTCGCTTAAACGTATTAAATTGTTTGCCATCTCTCCTTCTCTCTCTCTCTCTCTTCCCATTGACGTTGTACGTAGCTGACGCACAATTTTTCTTGCTTTTGCTGCTCCCACTAGCTCCTTGATGGCCCCACTGCTTGCTCGCAGCGGAAGTGTGTCCCGTGTAGTCGTAGCTCGTAATCGTATCTCTGTTTCTAGAACTGTATCCACATTCTGCTTTGTCACACCAAACAAAAAAAAAACAACAAACAAAAAAAAAGAACGTAATCGATTACCTTGTAACCGGATATGAGCGTATCCGCTGGCATCTGGGAGTCGCCCCAAAAGTCCGACGCAAGATGGCTGGGGCACGGTTTAATTGAGTTTAATTGAGGCCGGCCGCAATGCCTGGCTATTTATGCAATAATCATTGTTTAATTACAAAACCAAATAAATACACGAATACTAATGCTGGGCGCCCACGCTCTGGCTCCGGCTCCGACTCCGGCTCGGCCACGGGCATGGGCACTGGCGAGAGGCCTTTGATGTGGTCGCCATGGGGTTGCATTAATTATGCATGACACACGACATTCATGATACGCAAATGTGTGACTGAGAGTCGCACAGATGGAGGAAGAGAGGAGAGATTGGGGTGAGGTAAGCGTGTGAGTGGCTGTGTGAACAATTAAATTAATGCCAGTGCTCAGCAGAGCAGCATAGCAGCGGCCCAAAAGTAAGCTTTAATATTTAAGTGCATTTTAACACTTTGAGCCCACACACACACACCACACACACACACACACACACACACACATAGAGATAATATCTCTCAGGCAGTTAACTTAAGTCTCTTTGGCCCTCACCCAAGAAGAGCAGAGAAGAGTTGCAATGAGATTGACATATAAAATTGATTAGCAAATCAACAGCAAGTGCATTAAATTACTTAGCCACGTCCCCTACATCCCTACCTCCCTCCCACCCTTCTGGAATCCTTGAGTCTTGCTACGGAATCTTGCCACTGCGTAAATTTGACAACTTTCATATGGATGGGCATAATAAAATGCTCTTTATGAACTTTCCGACATTTGACAAATATTCTTAAATGCACTAAACCAATTAGAGCGACCAGCACACGCACAAGCACTCTGTGCCATGGACACACCATGTTCATCCTGACGATGATGTCTACAATGATGATGATGATGGTGTCCTGAGTGTGTGCACAAGCTCGTAAAACCCCAGAGTATCTGTGTGTGTGTCTGTGTGTGTGTTTGGGACGTGAGTAATAATATTTTGAGTAATTTGTTTTATATATTTTAAACGAAAATACCAAAAAGCATTTGATATTAATATCCTCCTTTTCTCTCTTTCTCTCTTTTTTTGCAGTGTCTGCCCAAAGCATGATGACGAAGAACGAGCCCATGTTTATATCACGTTCAGAGACCTTCAAGTTCATCACCGGCGAGACAATAGTGCTGCCCTGCGAAGTGGCCAATACGGGTAAGTGTAAGAGGAGCAAAAGCTCCTGCTTTACGATTGGTAGATCGGTTTTCAGCGAACAAGGTCACAATTGCAACAAAAATACACACTACATAATACACAAATACACACGCGTTCATTTCATGCACTTCTCATCAATGTCGTGCAACGGCTGACAGTTTTCAAATATTCTAAAAAAATCTTGAAAGCAAACCGTTTTGGGTTTGCATAAGTTTGACTGAAATTCCATTTCGACCACGCCGTTTGCATTTAAATTCTGCGGTCGAGGGTTTCCTAAACATATACATACATAATTAAGCCGGCATTATGCGATGGCCAGCCTGCCCACAACTATGCATTAATCCCATGGCTGGGGGGACGGGTCTCAAGTCCAGGTCCATTTCGACCACAGAAAAACAGAATGGATTTCGGTATACGAGGAGTACAAAAGAGGGACGAAGGAAAAGAGCGGAGGACAGTCGCCTTCTGACGAGTGTCCGAGCCAAGACATGTGGGTAGTGGTTATGGCGTTTTTGTTGCGGCCTTTCGCTCCACTCAAGTCGGTCCGGCATTTCCAGTGGGTGGCACTGGCAGTGGCAATGGCAATGGCCATGCACGTTTTTCAATTTAAATGCGGTCGTGTGTGCGAGATTATTTGTACATAACCAGGATTTAGCATAAGCAACAGCCGCCTTTCGACCAGGCCAAAAGACGGAGCACAACGGAACGAAACGGAACAAAGCACAGATATATGTAAGAAGGAATAAAATATAAGAAGAGGAAAGACCAAGCACAGGCCGTGAAGATGGTCAGAGCAAAATGCTACATAAAAACTTGGACCCAAACACTTGGAGCACATTTTATGTATTGCACGGATATACGAGTATGTGTATCTCGCAGATACATATGTGCCCGAGAATTGTGGATGGGCGATGGATGGGCGATGGGAGATGGCTGCGGTCGAAGCATTCCTTTTATAAGGAAAAGAAATACAGAACAAAGAATTTCATTTGCGTTTCTCATGCACTTCATTGCCTCTGACAACGGCGACAAGGAGGACAAGGATGAGGTTCAGCACCCAGACGAGGACTCGTGCCAGCACCAAGATGAAGACGAAGCAGACACTGAGGATGCGATACATAGACAATTTTCTGCAACAAAATTATAGCTGCGGGCATTTGGGTACTAATAATAAAAAAAAAAAAAAAAAACACTAACACAGAGACGAGAAAAGAAACGCAAGAAAAAGAAAGTACAGAGTGAAGCACAAGAAAGTAAATATAAAAAGAAAACAAAAGGACTGGGGGGAAATAAATTGCCTGGGCGTTGGTTTACTCTGGGATCGGGAATGGGGAGTCGGAGCCGCCCCAGTTTGTCCCCGACTAATGCCGCATTATGCTAATAAAGTGCCCATACGACAATTTCATTACAGACATCTCCCAGAGAAAGACCCAGAAAGTACAGAGAGCCAGAGAGCCCCAGAGAGACTCCGAAGCACCTCGCGGCTTAAACGTAATAATTAAAAAGTGAAGCCGCAGCGCGATTTCATATTTTTAATAACGTATGCTTTATGGAGGACATACCGATCCCCCCTTAAACATGATTAGCTTTTGAAAACGATTGCCAGAGCAGGTGATGCTCATCGTGTCCCCCTTTTTATGGTCGTGGCCCATAAAGTGTAAAAAAATAATTGATAGAATTTTTAAAACCACACTAAAACGGAGTACCCCTCAGTACAATTTATGCGCATTTTCATTTCGTTTTATGGGATGCAAGGCTCATAAAAATTCGAAACGAATGAGCAAAAATAACACAAAGGATGCGTGCGTGCGTGCGTGCGTGCGTGCGTGTGTCTGTCAGCATTTAAATATTGTATGAAAATTCCTTTAAACACTTATTACAGAGCTCTGCACTCGCAAGGAGTAATCTTTTGACTCGTTTGTGTTTGCTGCTCCTCAGACAATCAGACAGACACTCAGACAGAACGATAGTCATCGTCTCTCCCTCTTTGTCTCTATCTGTGGATAAACAGTGAAGCATTTCATCATTATCATTTCATTTCATTTGAATTTTTATTTGTTCTTCAATGTCTGGCACGCAAGAAACTTGTGTATTTTTCTGTTTTCTGTTTTTGCATTTGCTACTCTTCTGATGGCTCTACTGCTGCTTTAAGTAGACCTCGTATACCTCCTCCTCCTCGTTATTCCCCTGTACTGCTGTCTCTTTTCCATCTACTGCTTTTCTTGTGCATCGCCTGGGGTTGTGCCACAACAGAATATTCGCACTTGGCCAAACAAACCTCATTCGACAGCAATACCCTGTCTACCCTGAAAAAACTGAACTAAAAAGTGGGTACATTAACTGTGAGCAGCTGCATAAGCTGCTTAGTTGGTCAAAAGTCTCAAAGGGGGCATGCAATTATAGGAAAAACCTTCCACTAAATGTGTACTTATGTAACTCTAAAATTCCATAAAATTCCCAATGACGTAAATTGCAAATGTTGCATAAGGGAAATCAGAAGCACTGATATTCTCATTATTCTGTTAAAACAGAACTGCATCCCAAAGGATTAGCCCACACTTGGGCTGGCTTTAATGTGCAATGTGGCCTATGTTTTTGGGCCAAGGAAAGCACAAACAACGACCTGTCTGTCACTTCTTTTGTACTCGATTAGACTCTTGTCGTTTGCTTTGGAAATTTTCGTGTTAATCCTTGCAAATCAGTTTGTTGTTTTTTGCTTTTTGTGGCAAGTAAATATTATTATATAATTTATGCTTTTGTGTTTGCAGAGTTCTTAAAATATTCATAGCCTGCCACTGTCCTTGGCTGTCGTTAGGTTCACTTACTTCCCCTCTGGGGGCCAATAAATTCGTTCAATTCGATTCGATTCGAGCTCATAATATTTTCATGGCAAATCCACGGCGATTCTTTTTTTAAGTGCTGCCCGCTTTAAGCTCTTCTAAATCGGCTAATTAATTGCTCTGGCCGTTTTAGCCACTGCTCAACTTGTCTGCATGCAAAGCCTTTTATGCTGCCGAGTGTCGTGTGAATTTTTCATTGCGGTTACTGCGGCCGAAGCACGAGTACAGTTTTACAGTAGTAACAAATTGGCAGCAAAAACATTTAACAACTATGGCTACTGCCAGGGCCAACTGGCAGTTAGTGCTGTTGCCGTAACTGCAAACTCGACTGCAATAAAATTCAAAACACAAAAACCCCGTCATTGCGGCCATACAAACGCTCATTACGCTTTGATGGAGCTTTGTCGGCGCTCCATCGCTGCGCGGCGCTTCGGAACTATTGCCCAGAAAACGGAAATGGAATCGTACCGCAAAAGTTGAAGTTGTGCAAACAGCCAGAACGTGGACCCACAAGTACTCCACGTAACGTGGATGGATTGGATAAAGAAGAACTGGCAGGGGAAGGAGTAGGAGCAGTGGCATGGGTAGTGGCATGGGCAGTGGCAGGAGCAGGAGGCAACAAAGTTTCAATATTAATGCCATTTACAGTTCTAATTTCGCTTTTTACGTACTTGCAACATACACACGCACACGCTACACTTAACACACTCGCACACACACACACTCACAAAGTTCCACAAGAAGTTGCAGATAAGTCTCTGCCTCTACACACCGCACCGCACAGCACCGCACCGCACCTCTCCGCTCTAGTTTACTCTGCTGCGGCTAAGCCGCAACATCGTTTATCTTCGGGGGTCATCATCTTATAATATTGGCCTTTCCGACATGCAATAAATTGCGCTCAGACAAACAACATGTCCGTTGGTCGGCCTTTGGTCCGTTGTGGCAGCCACTACACTGCAAGAAAACATGCCTTACAGCTGGTCCAAGCTGGCCAGAACGGGTCAAAAGCAGACCATTACAGCCATATTGCGCATACGCACAGTATGCCAAAAGCAAACAGACAAAAGCGCTGCAACAATGCGAACATTGGCCATATTTGAATCGGTTCTACAAGTGTGTGTGTGTGTGTGTGTGTGTTTGTCCGAGTATCTGTGTGTATGGTATAGATGTGCGAATGTGTGTGTGCCTGTCACTGGGTGAAGTGTAGAAAACTAAAAGTTGGCTTTCGGGCTGTAAACAATGAACAAACGCTCTCCCTCCCTCTCCCTCTCTGTAGCAGGACGTGCGGTCGGCCATTTGTCCAGGACGGAGGCCTGTGTTTATGTGGAACTCCATGTGCATGAGCCCGAAATGCTTTTACCGAGTTTCCGCCCCATGCTAGTCCTCATCCTCCATGCCACTATTTCTATACCCCATACCCAGAGCCAGAACCAGAACCAGCACCAGAACCACAGCTCGGACCCATCTTCATCCTGATTCCCATTCTGCTGCTGCTCGGCTTCTCGCTCGCTTAACGGCGCAATTGTTTGCATGTATTGTTGTCGTAATGCTTCAGCTGCCTCTCCCTCCCAGCCCACTCTCTCAGTGTGTGTCTGTGTGTGGGTGTGTGTGGGCTTCTATTTAGTTTAGAACACTTAAACCGGAAATTGAGGCGTTTCGTGTTTTGCTTGTTTTCGTTAGATTGTTGTTATTTTAGTTAACAATTTATTTAGTTGCAGTGCCCCCTGCCCGAGCAGTGCCACACATGAACCGGACTCCTAATTTATGTGGTCTTGCCACTGCCCCCATGGATATTCTGCTACTGCAACATCTTGTCCTTTCGAGAACAAAGGACCAATACACCATGCTCCACAGTATTATTAATTTCCTGCCCAGACACAGACACAGCCACAGCCACAGAATCCATCTCCGATTTCGGTTTGACTTTTTCACATCTTTTTTTTTTGGCTGTCCAATAGATTTTGACAAAGATTCTTTTTGCATTGTGCATGTCATTCATTGACAATGGCAAAAGGTATTTTGGCTGAAAATTTCTTGAAACAAAAGACAAGACCAATTAGGCAGAACACTGCAGGAATTAACCAATTTTCCAATTCCCATTTTCCCCAATGAAACCAAATAATTGACAGGCTCTAATAATACTTGCAAACCAGAACGAAAACCTTTCTCCAATTTGCATATCTTTGCCACAGTACTGGCGCTGGCAGGGGCACGGGCACTGGCACTGGCACTATGCCACTACGAGGCCATACACCAACGATGTTGCTTCATTCATAACTCAATCAAGCGGCTAATATGATATGACTGCACTTTGCAGGCAGCACGTACATGCTCCCCCCTCCCCTCCCCGCTCCACCATCGCCCGCTCTAATGCCCGGGGCAGGATGCATGCAAGGCTTCCCTGGTGTTGAGCCCACAACTCAATGCCCGCACACACCTCTCCCCAGTGTGCCACAAGAATTATACTTTTGCTACGTTGCAGAGTCTCTGGGACAACTACTATACGACCATACGACTCTACCTCACCTCCGACTCGACTCGACTCGACTCTCGCCTCTACCTCGACTATGCCACACACGCTAACGACAGCAGGTGGTGCTCGTTTATTTATTTGTTTTTGCAGTGCACTACGCCGCCTGCATTGCCCTTCTCTTGTACCTGTGCCTCTTCCTGTGGCACAACCTGGTGCCGCCTCGTTCTTGGGTTGGCTTGTTGATGTTGTTCAACTCATTGCAAATAAATACGCTTTTTGAATGCGCATGTAAATGACTTCATAAGCATTTTATTACAGCCGAGCAGAGGACCTCGTTCCTGCCTTCTACTCGCAGTAAATGTTCATCTGTGTGTGTGTGTGTGTGTGTGTGTATGTTTCGTGGTGAAATCAATTTAAAGCAGGGGACACAAGGATACATACTACATCATTTTGCCGTACTCTTGATTTTTGGGGCTTCGACAAAATTGTTTTAATTTTTAATGAACGCCTCTCGCTCGTTGGCGGGGCGCAACACGGAAGTCATACATCATTAGTAGCAAAATCCGGCTGCTTCAGTACACAGTCATTCGAATTTCCAATACACTGACTCCCTCCCTCCCTCCTTCCCTTCCTCCGCAACTCCAGTTCCACGCCACCGGCCCCGGGCGGCTCTTCCTGCTGCCTAACCATTTCCCTATTTCGTGCTCATTCGCGTTGCACGCGCGCGGAAATTTACATCGAGCAACTCACATAAATTGAAAAAGGAATCACAATTAATGAGTTCGATGAATACGCCATTGCCATTGGGGCTAGGGCTGTGGCTGGTGCTGGTGCTGGGCTGGGCTGATGCTGAACTGGGCTGTTGTATGTGTACGTGTGGATGCCACACACTCTTTCGCTGGCTGACTGGCTGGCTGTCTGGCTGGCATCCTTCCTACTGCGTGCCTCACTCTGGCAGCTTGCCCGCCCCGCCGCACTGCTGAAAGCATCGGAGTGTCTGACTGCCTCTCATTCTGGCATATGATTGCAAATGCCGCACATTAGCGGATATCAAGTGGGTGTTACTGAGTGCCTGTCTGACTCTCGCTCTCTCGCTCATCCAGCCACAGCCGTTGTTCATGCCGCCTGTCTGCGGTTTATGCCTCCAATTCTGAGAGTCTCTATGTGTGTTTGTGTGTGTGTGTGTGTGTATGTGTTTGTGTGTGTTTGCGGGTCCATGCCAAATTGAATTTCTAGCCTTTTTAGATCCTTTGAAGCGTCCTGTAATTGAGTCATTTGAATTCTGACTTTTCAATTTGCGCTCAGCCAGTGCCACAGCCATTGCCACTGCCAGTTCCACTGCCAGTTCCACTGCCACTGCCACTGCAGTGTATTACACTCCACTCGAATCTGCCATGCAATTTAATAACTCTCGAACATAATTTATTAATCAATTATAAATACATCTCTCTGATTGCAGACACCTATGTTGTGGCCTGGAAGCGGGGCATTGCCATATTAACTGCTGGTTCCGTGAAAGTGACGCCCGATCCACGCGTGCGCCTGGTCAATGGCTTCAACCTGCAGATACGTGAGGCCCTGCCAACGGATGCCGGCGATTATATTTGCCAAATTGCCACGATGGATCCACGGGAAATCACACACACTGTCGAGATATTGGGTAAGTAGGCTGGCCGCACCCCGGACTGACTTTTCGACATTGTGGCATTGTTATGCAAAGTTCCCCCGCCCACGTTCCCCTCCCCTCACTCACAAAAGCAGTATCCACATCCCATTCACAACGATAGAGATTGACGTTCCATGGAATTTTTATGGGGCTGGGGAGGCGGCAGAAATTTATGCAGCCTCCTCAAATCACTTGGGCCCCATTGTTTGGCGGGGGGGGGCAGATCTACCTCTCGCTCTTGCCTCTGATGCTGCTGCTGCTGCTGCTGCTGCTGTGTGTTGGTCAAATTAACATATCCTTAGATCCTTAGATCCTTGGTGCTTAATGCTTTATGCGTCTGGGCCACTCAAATATGCAAAGTAGGTTCGCTGCAATTTGGCCGCTTTACGGCCACAGATTCAATAGAGAGACGAGCGGCCAACAAAAAAATCAAAACTAATCTGCCATTTGCCCCAGAATTGTGGCTCATCTTTGGATCCCAAACCCAGCTGCAGGCCTGCTGCCCCTGCCTGCTGCCTTTGCCTTTGCCTTTGCCCCGCCTAAGCCATAGATGGAGACGGAGAACGGATGCAAATTGCTGCTCCTTTCTGGCTCCCAGCAGTCCTGCGCCCAAACTACTTCCTGTCGGGGACCCATTGTGCCTAACAAGCGTGCGACTTCGGCTCCACTCCGGCATCGGCATCGGCATTGGTTCCGGTTGGGAGCTTTGTTTCTGGTTTTGTTGCCGCCTCAGACCTCCCGTCAATCTCTGCTCCTACTTTTCCTTGTCTTGCTGCTGGTGCTGCTCCTCCGTCTCCTTTTTATCCTTGTGGCATGCGTCTTCGCTGGGCTTCTAATCAGCAATGATGAATAATTTACATATATTTTCCCCCCTCCAATTACAATGTTGCCCTTTATTTGCATACCCCTGTGTGTGAGTGTATCTGTAATATGTATCTATGTGTGTGTGTGTGTGTGTGTGCGACTGCCACGCCTTCTCCATTGCTAACACTTGCCTTTTAACTCTCTTTTCTTGTGCCTTCCGCTTGCCTGTGTGCGGCGCATGCAAATTGCGATACAATTCCCCAAATCTCCGAAGTGCGCTGAACATCTCCAACTTTCTCTCCACGGACTCTCTCTCTCTCTCTTTGTGCCTTTCCTCTCGGCCACTCTTGCTGCTCTTTCCCTCTCCCTCTCTTGCTTCCATTTCCACTCTATCTCCCACTTCTTTCTCACAAATCTAGACTCCATTTCTTCCATTTTGTAGCTGCCTTTTCTCTCAGGTCACTCCTCCATTTGTTTTACTTTTCTCCCGCTGAGAGCTGTAAAATTATTGAGAAATAGTTTTATTGCTGGCTTTAAAGCGGCCTTTAAGCCGATACAGATACATGGATTTTTTCGTTGTTTAAACATTACTCGGGAGGGAGCCTATAAAAATTGCGTATTTATTTTAGCAGCGGCAACTTTTTTCATTTGTCATTGAAACTTGGTCCTGGCTTGTGGTCCTGCCAGCTCCCACATACGACGAGGCTGCGCCAGCCCCATCCTCCTGTTTTGGGGCGTCGGCGTCGCCGCAAGCAAACATTAAACGAAGACTCCTCTGGAATGAATGGCGTTCGGGGGACTGTGGTGTTTCCTGGGGGCAACAGCAGCAGCAGCCACGGACAAAGAGTACGAAAAAAGTCGATTATTGAAAAGTTTTGTTTATTTTATGTGTTTATTATGCGCTCCGTTTGCCAAATAATGATCATGGCCAGAAATATTTCGTTTATTGAACTTTCGCAGCGCACGTAAATTTCTCGCTCAGTTTTTTTTGCCCTACCTCCCCACCATCCCACCATCAAAACGTCGAAGCCCCAGCCATGGAACCCATCTCCATTATTGTCAAAGGAGAAACAAGGAAAAATAATGCGCTGTCGAAGTTTTTATAGGCTCGACAGCAGACAACCAAACAACCAACCCAACAAGCAACCAAACAACCAACAGCAATCCTCACTGCTGTCCGAGAAGCACCCTCCGAACAGCAACAACAACAAAAAAAAAAGTGCGATCCCAGTGCCGAGTCCGTGTGGCACAGGACTCCACTCGTATATAAATTTCATAAAGTTTGCCGCTCTCTGGCATCTCGGCCTGGCAGTTTTTACGAGCGTAAATTACTTTCAGTTTGGCTCACACTAAAGATGAAAAAATAATGTGCGCTCTTGCCAAAGTTTCGCACTTGGCCAGCGACGTCGCACTTACAAAGGCATTAGCCCCGGCGATGGCCAAAAAATGGACCAACCGAATCCAGTCGATCCATGGAGTCGCAGCCAGAGACGCAGCCTCTGCCCGGAGGCCGGGCCAAGCAATGGCCAAAAGTTTTCCCGTTGACAAATCTTTTAATATGGCCCAAACATTAATATCTGTGCTCGTTTCTCTGTGCTTTGTTCTGCACTGTCTCTCTCTCTCCTGGCGCCAACATAATTACATGTGAAGCACATGCCTGGCTCTCTCACCTAACGCCCAACCGCTGCAGCTTAAATATTTGATGTGTCCGTGGATTGTGCTGCCAAGGCTGCCCTGCTCATCCCTAGCTCCTGACTGCTCTGCTGACACTGTTGACCAAGTGTCAATAGAGGGCAGGATAACCGTGTCAAGGACTGTTGCATTTGCATGCCACCCAAGCTTTAGCTTTCGCTCCAGCTTTGGTTTTGGTTTTGGCTTAAAAGCATTTTTATTAATTCAACCTGCGCTGCGGCAGCTGAAACTGCAGCATTATTCATATGGCGTTTAATAAAACCAATTAGGCCTTCGACACCGCCCACATCCACCACCCACACCATGCAAAATCCATCCATTAGCCAGTGGCGGTGGCAGTGCCAGTGCCAGTGGCATTGCCAGTCTGTGTCTGTTGCCACTCAGTAGGGCATCGAATCGATGTGTTGTGGCTCGGCTCGGTTTGGGCCGTGTGGCTCACCCAAATCCAACCGCAAAACATTATGTTATGCGGTGGCAGTTGCGGTCAGCCATTGCGGCAATTTGCACATTTTTATCAGAGCCATAGCCATCAGGCATCAGGCATCAGCCATCAGGAATCAGCCATTGGCCATCTGATACATGGATTTTTAAATGCATTCTGTGCGTGACTTTAATTCGCATTGTTGCGGGCTGCGTGGGAGATGGTGGGTGGTGGGTGGGTGCATCACCAATTACAATTATTCCGCACTCGAATAGGATTTCTCGATAGTTCAAATGCCACCGAATGTGGCAATTAGGAAGGTAATTACAGGACGGCGCTAAAGTCCAAGGTGGGGTGGTCTCTCATCCACTTAAAGTATCGATGACAATAAAAGCATTGAACCGGAAGCCATAATTATTGCATTGACTATCCTGTCGTGTGGTGTCGTGTTGGGTTGTGTTGTGTGTGGGGTGTGGTGGGGTGTGGCATAGAAAATGAAGCCTCATTTCTGTGATTTATATGCACAATATGCCAAAACAACTGTTCACGAACACCCAGGCGGACACGGACACCGAGACGGATGTGGCTACATGAGACAGAGACAGGGGCAGTGGCACGATTAGTGGCAGGGGCAGTGGCAGGTGCTGAGGGGCAGGGAGGACAGCCTTTAATTATGGGCAGCTGGCCAACACAAGTTCCATTCTGCCAGCACAATGGGTGGAACAACAATGTTTGTACACTAACAAAAGATGCTGCTGCTGCTGCTTCTGCTGCAGAGTGAAGCAGAAGGGAGAGGTGTGCCATAATTATATGCCACAAGAAGGATAAACAAATGCCACACACACACACACACACACACACACATGAAACTCTCAGTGCAGACACGCATACAGGCAAAGTTTCTTTGGATACTTGAGACAAATTACCAACACACTGCAAAACCAAAGGGAACTTGCACCATCCGAACATGCAGCAGAGAAAGGAAAGGTGGCTCGACTGAAACAGGGTGGGAGTGGGGGTATGGTCTTAGCCAAGTGAACCCACAATTAAATACCAAGCTCTGGGATCCGTTTAAGTTCTCTGGCAATAAACTTTATCGCCCTGCAACAGAATATGGATTTAAATTGCTCAACAGACTACAGACTTCAGACTACAGACTGCGGACTACACAGGCTCATGCTCGAGGACCACTTAAAGTTTTCCCAGCTCAAGATTCAAATGGATGTGTGTGTGGGTGGGTGGGTGTGTGGCCATGGGTGGGTGGTGTCTGTGTGCAACTTTGAATGCCACAAAACCATGGCCAGAAGTTGAGAGCCGCAGCCTAGCAGGCATTCCAGCACACACACACACATATTTACATATAACGAAATCAATATAAACAAACTCTGTCAAAACTGCCCGCAACCGACATTGGAGTTGCCTCAGCATCGGCCTCTGCTGCTGCTGCTACTGCTGCTGCTGCTGGCTCTGTTGCGGCCACTGCGGCAAGTGCTTTGAAAGAGCTGCTTATTAAAATTGTTGCCAGCTGCCCGCAAGCCACCAGCACCGCCGCCACCACAGACAGCTCCACCGACACAGAGCTGTCTAAAGATTGAGACCCATTAAGCAGTCGTCATCTGCATGACATTACATACCGCAATCCCACGTATTACATGCCAGCCAGCAGTCAATCCAAATCAATTCCAATCCACCCTGCCATCGAGTGCTCGTATTAAAAGAGCTTTCGGCACACACTCCCGCATTCGATTCGCATGCAGATGGGTATATTTATTGAATTCAATATGCGATCCACTGGCGAGGATAAAGTCCCACCAAAGCGTGAAATTATTGAAAATACTACGAGTATATTCCAAAAACATACACACACATATCCACAGAGACAGAGACGAGAGAGAGAGGGAGAGACAGCGAGAGAGGAGATGTGGCAGAGGGACTAAGCTTCTCTGTAGCAATGCCACACAACCGCAGGGAGGGAGATATGGGAGGCAGGAGAGCCGCTCTGGCCTCCCTTCTGTGGACTATCAGCCATCGCCGAGTGTCCTTCCCTGGCTGCGCCTTTTGCCAGCCTCATGATTTATTATAGTCTAATGCATATTTTGTGGCTGCAACAAACGAGAGTGTATGGAAGATACGGGCATGCTGCTGCCTCAGTGATCAATTGTAATTTTCTTTCGAATGCAAATATCCAACAGGGCTAGGAACTCGGAGCTCGGAGCACAGAGCCCTGCCTTCCTTGCCTTGCTTATTTGTTTTGGCCAGTGCAATCGAATATATTATTTGATATATTGCAAATCGTATGTGATTCGAAAGAATTGCATCAATAACACATGTTTGCCGGTCCGCTGTGTTGGTCCGAATTGATTGCATTGGGTGTGAGGCGGGCCACGATACAAGTATTTGCGAGTATATGTCATAATTTGATGATAACCCAATCAGATACATATCTGCAGTCTGCTGCAGCAGCGCACCGAAACCCCTGACCCTTACACTGCCACAGAGGCTATCAAGGATTCCAGTTGGACTCTAATTTGATATGTATATCAAATGCATCCCTGTGTGGATTTTGGTTTGCTGAGCTGTCGATGATACTCGCCCTGAGACGGAGACCACATTTCGAATGGATAATTTGACAGGCAAACTTCATTGCAAATAAGTCAAACATAAGACTGGACATTTCGACTGTTTACAGTGAGTCCAAAAGGACTTAATTTTTGTGCATATCAAATCCAATGGTGTGAATATTTAAGATTACAGAATCTATAGGTTTTATCGATAATCTGCAAGGAACTTTTTGACCTGTAACCCCCTGTAGAGGAAATTCTGCATGAAATTCTGAATGAAACTCTACGAATATCGGATATAATAAAGTATCGCGAGGGTCCGCTTGTTTCCTTACTTTATGTGCACCCCCAAAAGAACAAGAACAAGGACCCAAGAGCTTTAACAACAAAATAAAACAAAGAGAATGAAGCGAAAGTAGAGAAAGTACGAGACAAATAAACGCAAATTCACGAAAAGCTCAAAGCAAACAATGGCAGAAGTGGACACAGAAACAGAAACAGAAGCAGAAGCAGAAGCGAACTTTCGCTCTTTTTTTAGTGGCCCCCAAAATATAATAATGCATAAGATATGTTAATAAAATAGAATGAAGCCATCGACTGTGGCGTTGGCGGCCGGCCATTGGCATTGTCCTTGATTTTTTGGGCTGTCCGGCGGCGCACAGCAGACATAATTTTTAACAGCTGTAAAATAATGCCACCGCAAGTATAAACAAATGCCAGTTCAGTCCCGAATTAAATCAAACTGTGCCCCAGCGGTTCCATACTGGAGTCCTTAGTCCTGCGGCCTGAGTTCAAGTCAGAGACGCGTAAACGGCGTTTTTCTCTCATTCAATTTGCATTCGGGGCGCATTTATTTATTCAAATTGTGTGATGTCCTTGCCGGCCCCAACTTTGCATAACATTCTGATGGACATGGGGACACTGGGACTGGGCGACTGTGGGAAGCCAGGGACTAGACCCCTCTGAATGTTGCCCCATTTCTAATGTGCTTTTTCTCTCTGTTCCTTCTGTTTATTCGCCCCGACAGTGCCACCGAGGATTCATCACATTAGCACCGGCGGACATTTGCAAGTCAAGAAGGGCTCCTCGGTGCGCATCGAGTGCTCGGCCACTGGTAATCCAATGCCGAATGTGACCTGGAGCCGCAAAAATAATATTTTGCCCAATGGTAAGATTCAGCATAAATACAAAAAAAAATCCATACAGCAGACAAAGGGATGCCCCGGCACCATCCATGGAGTCAACCAACGAAGAACCATTCACGGCCGCCACGCAAATTAAAACCATAAAGAGCAACAAAAGACAACGGCGGTGACCGCCCAGAAATGGGAGAGCAAAAGTAAATGAATATAGTCGTAAAAGAAACTTTAAACAATTTCCATAAAAATGAAAAGTCAAAGAAATTATACGACGAGTACTCCCCCCCTCGCCGGTTTTGTGGAGCAGCAGGCGACGGCCGGCCATTCTCGGCCAGGGACTCGTACTCAGACTCGGACGCGTCCTTGTCCGCCGACAACCGCTTGGGCTGCTGCTCCTTTATTATTAAATATAATGCTCACTGTGTGGGCGTGTGTATCTATATGCCTCTCTCTGTTGGTGGTTTCGTTGTTTGGCTACTGGTGGCCCGCTGGATCCGTGGAGCCGTGTAGCTGTGGAGCTGTGGGGCTGCCAAGAAGGACGGCATCAGGACATCACTGTCACTTGGCCGCACGTTGATTCCCTGTAATTGGCTCTGTCATTTCTTGGTCTCCCCACAAAACCACCCACAGCCACACGACCTTATTGAGTTGCATTTTTCATGCGGTTTTCATGGTATACTTTTGCAGGCGAGGAGAAGCTCCACTCGCACGTCCTCTCCATCGAGAACGTGGACCGGCACAAGGGCGGCGTCTACATATGCACGGCGAACAATCGCGTCGGCCAGCCCGCCTCCAGCCAGGTGGTGCTCCATGTTCTATGTAAGTATGCCCCACCCCACCCCACTCCACCCCACTCGTTACAGCCCACTCAGCCAGCTAGCCAGCCACCCACTCCACACACAATGGAATGAAAAGGCGAAACAAATTAATTTTTTGCCCGAGCTTCAGGGGGCTGCGCGAGTGTGTGCGAGTGTGAGTGCTCGGCTCGACTCGGAGTTACGCTGTCAGTTCAATTTATGTCAAAACTGATTTCGATTTCGAACGGGTATTGACTCTCGATGCATGCAATCGCGGCACCCAAGTACATGGTAGGGATTTGAACAGAACAGGGACAGAACTACGTACGTGGCACACACACACACACACGCCGCAGAGCGGAGCACTGCTTTTATTACACTTCCGTGCGCACACTTACTCGACATTTATTGGTTGACTCTCACAATTATTGAAATGCCTTACGGGTGGTATCGGCCATTCTGACATTTATTAACAATTTATGTGTAATTTGCCGGACAGTGGCGGACAGACGATTCCCGGAGGACGCGAGCAGAGCAGGCATTACATGTGCTAATTACATGGCGCCCATCTCTATTTACACTCTCTGGCCCTTTGGCCCTTTGGCCCGCTGGCCCCCGCCGATTGCTGGCCATTGGGGCCATTGGGCCATTGATTTTTTTGCTTTGGCCCCGAGACCCATGTTCATGTTATTAACTAATTTCTTAACATTCTTTCTACCCCACCCGCTAACCCCCACCAAACACCAACGCCAATACTCCCACCGATGTACAGATTCGCCAGAAATCGCAGTAGAGCGTCCCGTTGTCTTCTCGGGAGAAGGACACGAGGCCATGCTGGTCTGCATCGTCCATGGCGAAACACAGCCTGAGGTATGTTTTAATTAAATTTCATACATAAATTTTCATTAACGCGTTTGCTCACTCGGAAACACGTACAACACGCCCCACACCCCAGTGCTGGAAAAACACAGAGAAAATCCTAAAAATAAGCATATATAAAGATATAGATATATGAATGTAATACATATATTTGTGCCAAGCGGTTTTGTGAGAGAGTATAGTTTGGCAAATAAATACAAAAATATATTTGAGTCTGAAAGTCTGAAAATTATATGTGCAGCTATATATATAGGTAAATGCCTATATAGTATAGTATTTCTACAGCCAAAGCTATAGAGTACATTTAGCTATATGTAGGAATATTAAATCCGAGTACGAATATTCACGATGGCTTTATTATCGACTTTGGCACCAAAAAAGACTTTGATTATGCAACAGACATAGATACGGTTATCGTCCAGTGCATTTGGTCAGCATTCCCCAAATTCCTTTCTTTTTGTTCTCCATTGTTCGGGAGCAGAAGCGGAGAGCAGAGCCAAGGACGAGCAGCTGCTGCCATACAACGCATTAATTAAAAGTCTACAAAGGCAAATTGAAGTGCACTACAAAGTGCAGATAGGAGAAAGGCGCCGGGCATAATTTTAATCAAACATCGCTCACAATAGACCCAGAGAGAGAGGGAGATGGCACCAGACAGAGTGAGAGAGTCAGTGTCGGTGTCGGAGCCGGTGCCGGTGCTGGTGCCGGAGTCGGCAGTCGGAGAAGAGAAGAGAAGTGGAATGTCGCCTGTGTCTCAATGCATTTTTCGTATATTTTTGCAGTAATTTTTATAGCAATTTTTTTGTTGTCATTCTTTTGCTCTCTTTATTCTTGGTGTTTATTTTTGTGCTTTGCGCCTTTTGTCGACATTTAAATTAATACGCTTGGCTATAATTCAAAGTAAAATTGCGGAAGTTGCCAAAGCGGAAGTGAGAAGCGGCGAGCAACCGAAAAAAAGAAACAGCAGGAGAAAAAGAAAACCCAAAATGACATGGCAGCACACACACACACAAGAAAAAGAGTGAGAGACAAGGCAGAGACTGAAAAAAAGGATATGAGAATGAAAGAGTGAGAGCGATGGCTACAAAGGAATGGCAAATAATGACTTGCGACCGCAAATGTCAATGCTTAAAATTATACAGCTCCCATTTCAGTTCACATTGTTTCGTTCCATTTTGGCCATACCCTTACGGCGGGTATTACTGGTCAATGCGAGCTTTTTGAAAGGGGGAAGCATTAAGCATTTTTATGATCTAGCTTTAACTCCATCTGACATAAGCTTTACTTTATCTTACTTTCTACAATTGCTGAAATATGAGCTAGATCAAAATGAGACTAATGTATTCTATAGCTTTTATACTGAATATCTCTGTGAGTAACATATCTTAGCCAAAGTTGATGATAATCCGATCATACTGTTTCATATCATACTGTTTCCCCAGTAAAAATTTATCCGCAAGTGTATCCAAAGCTGTGAACCCCGCGGCCACACTTCCATTCCCATTTTCGCCTCGTTTTTGCTGGCCGTGACTCCCGCCGTGACTGCGGAGTGACTGGAAGGCACGCCCATTCCCCGAATTTCGACAGCGCATTAAGTTTTTATGCTATTTAATTTTTAACATTTTCGTTTTTTCGTATGCTGCTCGCTGCCCCTCGTTTTGTGGCCGCAAAGAGTTGACTGCTTTCCCTGGAAAAGCAGAGCGTAACTATTTATTTGCCAGCCCAGCCAGAGCTGGAGCTGGAGCTGTAGCTGTAGCTTTATATTTGTTCTGTCCGACATATTTCATTAAAACCCGTCTGCACCACGTGCCCCGCCTCCTGCTTTGCATGGTGCATGCCACTGACGGCAGCGGTTGACGGCCGAAAGGCGGGGCGTGGCAGTTAGTAGTCTTTGAGAATGGCATTTCCGCATGCAATTTTTACATTTGCCGCCCGCTCAGCTCCCCCCACACTTCCATTTCCAGCAGTTCGTCATTTTTCTGAATTTATTTCATTGAGTTTTTCTGGTTTTGTTTTTTTTTTTATTTCTGTAACCGCCGGGGCTAAGTGTATACAATTTAACGCTTCCTTGTCGTTATTTCTGGGTGGGCAGAGGGTTCCCCTTTAACGAGCCTCCCCATCCCCACCACCACAATGTTGGCTGGCAAAAGCACTCCACGTGCCGCTGCATATATAAATTCTCAAGTGTGGCCAGACGCGGGAGTTTTCTTTTTTTGTATTTTAGATTTAGATGCAGATTTGTTCGCTACCCCGCCAACCAAAATGTTAATTAAGGAATTCAGTGGCATGTAAACCCTCCAGGGCAAAGGTCAGTTTAATTAGCGTGTCGAGGGTCGAAAGTTGGCAAGTCTGCTCAGAGTGCGCTCAGGCGTAAAACTAATGAGTCCGACAGGAATGTTTGAGCTTATATGGATTGAGGGAATGTGTGGCACGACGACTAAACCATATCATTGTCCAGCCGCAACGCGCATTTTTAATTATGTCTTGTCAACGCAACTGGCGGCTCTGGGTTGTTGGCAAAACCACAAACTAGGCAACACTGCGGCAGCGTATTTTAATTATTTAGCGACCATTGAATGGCACTCGGGCGGTCACCGTCGAACACTTGAACACCCCCACAGATGGTCGAACACATGCCACACCACACCACAACACACCACACCGCACTACATACATGGAGATGCCTCTGGATAGGGCACTTATGTGCATATTTGCATATTAATTACGCACTGCACCGCAAGCCCAAGTCTGGCTGTCTGTGGGATATTCATAAACCATTGATATTGTCGATTTGTTGCATAATGAATATCATAAACAAGCAGTAAGCAATAAGCACTGTCCCTGTGCCCCGTCCAGCCATCCACCCACCCACCGCTAAAAGCACACAATCCAGAGATGAGAATTTAGCCCCCACTCAACGCCCAATCTCTGCTCATGCGACAGCAACAAAGTCATTAGAGCAATTGTCATTAACATGAGCGACGGCAATGAGACAACATCATTATCAACGTCATGCGGTGGGCAGGGGCAGTGGGAGGGGCACGGCATGTACATGGAGTTGGGGCAGTGCGGCATTGTCAACGACGTTGTCCCCGTCATCGATGTCGAACGCATTAAACATGCAGCAGCATCTGACAGAGCCATCAACATCAGCATCAGCGGCTAACAGCATTAATGGGGTGGGCGGTGGGGGGATAACACCGCCAACCCTTAACTCCTCCAATAACAGCCCCTCCCATGGCACAGCCACTGCACTTCATGCACTTTCATCATCACTCTCTACAGCGCTGCTGTGTCGTGCCGTGAGTGAGTTAGGGCGACGGATACAGGGGGCATCCAGCTGCAATGGTTTTTAATTATTTTGCAAATTAATTTCCAAATTGGTAATTTTCTTCACATTTACACACATTGGGGGCGTCCCCAAACACAGCTGCAGCCGCTGTAATGAGTTTTTGTGCGGCGCGACGGGACGGAATGAGTAGTGGAAATTTGCCTATTAGCCTCGTCGCAAAGTAGATGTTTAGAGGGAAGCCGTATAACCGTACAACCTAATTAGAAGATGCGCTCGAATGGAAATTGCGCTGCAACACAGTTGCAAACGATAATGTTCGGCTGATGGCAGAACTCGAGGGCATCATGTACTGCACCAATTTTGTAATTTTATTCACATAAACAACTAACAAAAGTCAAACTGGGGGGGGGCCGTAACGATAGACACTAGTGAAACACATCCATGAAGGGGAATGAGGCCCGCTCCGGATCCAAAAGGTCGATCAGAAAGCACACAGTGCCAGCCATTCCCTCGAAGAGGCTCTGGGGACGATCGGGCATGCGAGCCTGCTCCTGGAAGACTGGATTGGTCAGCAGCTCCATGAACTTGAGAGCCCTGTAGTGGTACATCATCTCGTTGGTCAGGCGGAAGAGCAGCAGAAAGACATAGCCACCCCCGGCCACGCCGTGACAGATGCCAGGTCCCTTGCGCAAGACGCCCCTGTTCCAGACAAGATCGCCCGCGTGCCGTATGGCCGTCAAGTACTTCTCCTCGTTGAAGATCAAGTAGGCCTTGGCCAGCAAGTAGACTGCCCCGGGTGCGCCGTGACACCAGTGCACCAGGCGCCGGTCTGGATCCCTTCCCGTGGACAAGTCCTCCATGGACACCGGAAAGTTTCCCACGCTGTTCTGAAGTCTGACGAAGAGGTCAATGGAGATCTTAAGGTCGCGTACCACGTCTTCCGGGGCGGAGATGGGTGTTGTCCGGAACCAGGGACTGTCGAGCAGCATGTGGAAAATGCCGCACATGCCATGGGCCGCTCCCAGATACTGGGTGCCATGGTGCTGATAGATCAGCGGCGACTGGCTCTTACGGATCCGGCTGTACTCACGGCCACTCTGCACGATCTTCTGGCAAATGGAGATCAGCACGTCGTCGGGGATCTCCTTCCGTCCGAGAACCTCGTTGAGCCAGTAGCAGCCAGACAGATAGCCGGCACGTCCCTGCATGAAATCGTCGCAGCCAGTTTTCGTGTGCAGTTTCTCCAAGCTGGACGGAATGCCCGTCTTGAAAATATCCAGATCCATGGACAGGGTATTGGTGTCGTGGAGTGCGGCCGAGATGGCTGCGGAGACGGCATATATCCCAGCGTTGCCACAGATAAAGGAGAAACGGTCCGAGGCGCGCTTCAAGTGCTGCTTGCACTTCTCCTTGGCGTTGCCCATCAAAGCGAGGGCATGCTGCAATGCATCGGGGAACATCGGGCGCGTCTGCTCCGATGTGTGCAGCTTCCAAAACATGAAGCTAATGCCCGCATCTCCGACATACAAATCGCCGCGCTCGTCCACATCCGAATCATTCTTCTCCAGAATGGTCTCCACGTACAGCTTAATCAAACTTTTGATTTGCTTATCATTGGCCGCCGTCTGTCCCTCGCCGGGGACAAAATCCGGAAACGGATTTGGAAGACAGCGATGACCTAGCATTGTATTTGTATTATTGGGACCTCAGAGACGCGGCAGAGTCGAGACAGTCAATGTAGCGACTAGAATTGTGGGATTTAAGGGATTCGAAGTGTGAGAACTCTGCCTGGAAGTGATAGGTTTTGCAAAGATACTCGATGTTTGTAGATTAGGTGTAGAGGTGGAGTGCTTTCCATTCGCACTCTTAGGTACTGCCACCGATATGTGATTAATGCTTCATTATCTAATTTCTATTAGCATTTCCCTGGGTGAAGCTTGAAGTAGCAGGTGCCAGAGGGCCCAGACCGAGTCCTGACCAATTGCTGTTGGCAACAACTTAAGTCAAACTGTGGCCATTAGTGGCGACACCAGGACGAGCAACAGCAACAGCTCCAGCGACACGCAACTGAAGTCCCGACTCCTGGGTCCTGTGCATGTGTGTGTGCGTGTGCTGGGCGTGCCAACGTGGTGGCGTATGCGTAATTCCCACATGCCTCTTGCAATTATTTGTTTCTCTCTTTTCGGGCAGCTCTTTGGCGCGTTTCCACACGCAGCTGCGACGCTGCCACACACTGCCACAGTAGCACACCCATCTAACAACACTTTTCCGCCAGCAATTTCCGGGAGCCGAGGCTCCGTGCTCCATGGAAGAGGAAGGTATTGCATAATAGATTGCCAGGCAGGAGCGGAATACGAGTGCGAATGGGTGGAAATGGGGGAAATGGAAAATGGAGAAGCACGCAAATTCTTTTCTTCGCTTTTTGGCTGATTAGTGTTGATTGGTATTTCTCGCATTGCTGCTCATCAATGCTAATTTTTTGTTTCTGTTCCTGCTTCTCTCTCTGAAGTGGCAGCAGCTTCCAAGTTGGCCAAAGTTTCTTCCACTGTTTCTTCTTGTGCTTCCTTTCGCCTGTTCACGTGGCCGTGCAGCAAAAGCATTTGAAAATTAAGCGCAAGTGCAAAAGATTGATTGGCGCAACATTTGCGTGGATCTATTAATGAAGTGCACACAGACTCGGAATTCGGGCAATCAATCGCCGAATGCCTGGCAATCAAAGTGCTGCTTAATTAATTCGGTTAGCAATCTTCTGGAAACGCTCGAAAATATTAAATAAAATAATTTCTGCTCATTTTTCTGCCACGTCAACACTTACGCCTCGTTACGCACGGTTGAAGGAAATGAATGCGCCATGGCGCCATGTTGATGCGAATTCAGATGTGGATTCATATGATGATGATGATGATAATGGCTGTGGCAATGATGGACACAGGTTCCAGACTAGAGCTTAAACAAAGGCGAAAGCGGAAAATCAACAGCAAGAACAGAAGGCAAAGGCATGAAAAACGCAAACATCAACAATTTGGACAAATAACACGAGCAGAAATAGAAACAAAATAACATTTATGGCATGACGGCATAACGGCAAAGCAGTAGCAACTGCAAACGTGCCAGAGAAGGAGAGAATACGCTCAACGCAGGGGTGGATATGTCTCTTTGTATCCGTATCCGTAGCTGTAGCTGTAGCTGTGTTTGGGTTTGTGTGAGTGGAAAATATGACAACACATATGCGCCACTGACAGCCATTTTAATGGAATATGATGCTGCAAGCCAGTGGCAATGTTAACTAATCTAAAAGAAGTGCGGTGCGGGGTGGGGCCAGCCAGCACCAACCAGATATCTGTCTAGAACCCACAACTATCTCTGGCTATATTTCTGCTCACTCTCTTTCCCGTTCTCTGGGTTCTTATAATTTTTTCATTTATTTGTTTTAATATTTTTCCCTTTGTATGGGGGGGATTGGAGATTGGATTTTGGTATGTGTGTCATGCCATCGAGCACCTGCTGCTTCTGCTACCCCACCCCCCCAGCCCACTGTTAATTCGTGCGTTCTGTCCTTGCTTATCTGCCGAATGCCTGCCTGCCTCCCTGCCGGCTCCCGGCACCCGCCTCCGGTATCCTGTCTGGGACCTGTCAAAGCGGCGACAGCTCGACGGTCTGCAGTGTTGGCAAAAATGCTCCCAGCGACTTGCGCGCTCAATTCATTTACAAAACACGCACGGTCGTCCCTCCGCCTGTCAGCGGGCCATAGTTTCGGCATTCAGAACCGGGCCAGCTTCAGCTTCAGCTTCATTCAGGATATGTGTTTGCACAGGATTCGGGCACACTTGACACACAAAACATGTGCTCCAGAGTTGGCCGGGAAATATTGTATGTAGCAAACAAATAGAGACAAACGATTCGGATACCACCCAAAGATGGGATTCCATTCGTGCAAGGGTTCTTCCCTCTGGCTATGACCGGGCCACAAAAAAGCCCAGCAGTCATTAGCCGCTGTGTGTGTGGTTTGGTGGGTGGGGAAAATCTGTTGAAAAATGTGAACTGTGAACAGTGAACTGTGAAAGAAAATCAATACTCATCGCCTTGCACGTCGATCTGGTTTTCAATTTCAACAGGAATTACGCTTAATTGACGCTCAAGTGACAGCAGCACGAAGTGGAAGTACTCGCCACAAATCGTCTTAACTTTCACCTCAGCTCTCGACCCCATCACCTCAACCGCTTAAACAGAAACGAAAGGTACAAAGGCACGCACACAATGTCGGTCTTGGAGCTACTTATACATAGATACACTCTCTCCTCATTCACTCACTCAAGACACACACACACACACACACACACACACACCTCGAAAGTTGTTAGCAAGTTGTCCATGCTGTTCGCTGCGATTGACCAAAGTTTTCAATTATTTACAGGTAATTTGGTTCAAAGACACCATGCAACTGGATACCACAGAGCGGCACATCATGGAGACGCGCGGATCCCGGCACACGCTGATTATACGCAAAGTGCATCCGCAGGACTTTGGCAACTACTCCTGTGTGGCGGAGAATCAGCTCGGAAAGGCACGCAAGACCCTGCAGTTGAGCGGAAAACCGAATGTAGCCGTTTTTAATTCACCGCCAATCAGTCAGTACAAGGAAAGGTAAGAACCCATCGATATCCTTCGATTTCAGCTTGCGCGGGACACGTGCCACATTCGGGGAAGTTTGCTGGCTAATTAGAAGTGAGGGGCAGGGACTGGGAAATGCCAAGGGTTACGTAATTGAGAATTAAATGCAAAATCAGAAACAAATGTCAGGATTTTGTGGGTTGATTGGCCATTAGACATTGCACATAGAGATGATGCACACATCGCACACCAAGTGACTTTATTAGATTAATTTCGACGAATGACAGAGAGACGCCCACTGGATGGGCAGCCCTCTGGGTCGCTCAGTGCGTATACGTAACGAATAAAACTTTTAATTGGATTAGCTGTCATCAAACACACGCAGACACACCCACACCCACACACACATAAACGGGGCGACACAGATAGAAAAGGCCAAACCATCAAGGCAGAGAGAGAGAGAGAAAGAGAGTCGAGAGTCAGTGAGGCAAGCGACAAACAAGCTCACATCTCATGTCACACTCGAACAAGCTGGGAGACAGCCAGTCAGTTAGTCCGTCCATCCGTACGTCCATCCGTCAGTCCGTCTGTCAGTCATTCATTCAGTCAGTTAGATAGCTTTACACTCTTTCTCGGCAAATGGGAAGCGAGTGCCATTGGCACCTTTCAATAATTCAACTTGAATTAAGCCCCTTAACCGGGAGCACATTTTGCAGCAGAACCACAGCTGGCGGAAAACGGGGGAATGGGAAAAAGGAGCAAACTCCAAGCAAATAGCGCGCAGAGCAAGTACGCGTACGACCATTATAATTCGGGGGTTAGCAGCGAACTAACTTTTTCGGGGGGCAAACTAACTAACCAAGCGATAGCCAAGCGATGTCAACTTTTGCGCTGATTTCATTTCGTTTCATTTGGTTTTGATTCGGATTCGGAATGCCGGAAACTGCTGCCGGCAATTAAGCTCCCAAAAGACCCACCCAAAAAAAAAAACAGAGCCAACAGAGTAGCTATAGACTGGCGCCAGTCGCCGTTGACGGGCTCTTCAATTGTTAATAATCATTTTTATTGCTTACTTTAGTTTTATGCTATATGCGAAAAAGTTTCTCTGATTGGCGTTTTATGTTTTTATTGTGCGCCAGGACTTGAAGTTATTAGTTCGCATGGCCCAATAATCAGGCAGAGAAAACAGAAAACATCTAGAGCAAAACAGGAAGAGCAGCGCTTCGCCCATCCCTTTGGGACGTACGAGGCTTGTTTGTGCCCTAGGAGCGGGAGCGGGAGCGGGAGCAGGAGCAGGAGCAGGAGCAGGACTCCTCCCCATATTGTGCCCAGTGCTGATTAGCATTCAAATTGTGTGCCGAGTTTATCGCAAAGCAATGAAGTTGCGCCTTTGTAATGGAGGATTGCGACAGCAGGGCTCCTTGGAAAGGAGCTCTGGACCTCATTCTGATTCTGATTCTGTGACTCTGGCATCCCATGAGCTACATCTTGTAATTAGTTGTTTACTTGAATGCCAACAGTTGCTGTGGAGAGTGCCGGTGCTGGTGCTTGTGCCGCTGCCTGTGCCTGGGCCTGTGCCTGCCTATAAATAAGTTTGTCCATCAGCTTTGATGACTAATGAGCTTAAGTAGTGCCGGTCCGTGCGGACTCTCGGCATTAAAGCCATCGCTACTGGGGGGATCGAACTTTAAGCAGGGGCCAATGACCAAAAATGCAGTTGGCCAACCCTCCCCGCCCCTCACCTCACCCACCGACCGGCACAATGCAGTGCAGGAGAATGGCAGCAGTGGCGCAGAGTGGGTGGCCATATAACTTCATTTACACTTGAGCTGAGAATGTGGCAGGACTCTGTTGGCTTTTCGGTTGAATGGACGCATTGTGCGACCAGCAGGAAGGGGCCCAGACAATCGTTATAGCGGGCGGGGTGGGCAGGGGTCGATAGGGCAAACAAGCAGCCAATAACAAAGGGGAGGCACCCGCCATTATATTAGGACTGCAGCAGCAGCTGCAGCAGGGGATGGGGATACATGGCTCATACACGCAGTATCTTAACCCCGGCATTGTACTCATCCTCATCCCCATCTTCGGCTTCGTCTTCGACCGCTCCATTGATTATGTTGTTGTTGTTGCTGCTGCATTTTGGGATGCCTTGCTGTCTTGGCTCCTTGCTGGCGTGCCTGCGTTTACTTTGGCTTCAACAGCTCAGCTTTCAACTTTATAGAAAATTTAACAATTACATATTGATTGCACTCGCCTTAAAATAAATCCCCGCCCCGACTTCGCAGACTTCCACCCCGTGCAACTGTTGCTCGCGATAACTTACCCACTTATCCTTCTCTCTTTTGGCAGATACAACATCTCCTGGGCAGTCGACTCGCATTCACCCATCGAGGAGTACAAGCTGTCCTACCGCAAGCTGCCACAAGGACATGAGGTCGTTGGCAATGCCATTGACTCGCAATCCTCTTCGTCGTCGTTGTCGTCATCGCAGTCCTCGTCCTCCTCCTCCTCCTCGTCGCAGATGTACGGCTCTGGTCTCCACTCGCATCACATTGGCAGCAACATGGGAGGTGGCGGCGTCTCTGGCGGAGTTGGGCAAATGGGCAGCTATGCCGGCTACGGCAATCTGATGCACTGGGGACGCAACGACTGGCGCAATGTGGTCCTGCCGGCCATGCCCGTGTCGCATCACTATTCGCAGGGCATGAGCTACATGGTACGCGGCCTGGATCCCGATCAGCACTACGAGGCCACCGTGCAGTCCAGGTGAGTGGAGCAGCAGCTGCAGCTGTTGTTATTATTTTTGATAGCCGCAGTGTGGGACGTTGCTGCTGCCGCATGCATTCTGTTGGGCTCATTAGCAAGCATTTGCATATTAATAACTGCTAATTTTCCTGAGCTGCATAATTAATACGGGCAACGGTCTTCAATTGCAGGAATCGTTACGGCTGGAGCGATCTCACCAACAGTTTTGTCTTCTCCACATCATCGAATGGTGAGTGTCAGTAATGCGACTACTTAGTTTCGGTTTCTCTATCGCAAATGCCAGCAATGCACTTTAGGCCCCAAGGCTTATGTCCGGCACACACTGTTACGTATGGCACTGCTAGGGATTACCCTCCAATGTGTTTCGATTGTAGTGCCAAGCACTCTGTGAGGGTATCCCTGCCTCGGCTAGCCGATGGTCAATCTATTGAAATCCTTTTGGCTTTGTATTTGCTTTCTGTTGCTGGTTGCATGCATAATAATTTGGTATTATGCGTTGCTTTTCCCCGATAATCCACAACAAACACAATGCATCGGCAGCGGCAGGGCAAACAAAAAGGGAATATCAGAAACGGGCTGAAATCTGTGCAAACTGTCGCAATTTAATGTATTTAAAATGTATTACTGAAGCGAAAGGGAGCGCGCGACAAGTGAGGCGGCAAGTGGATGCATTTACCGCGCATTCATTTCGTTTCGTGTCGTTTCGTTTTGACGAAAATTTCAGTAATAATTTAAGCACTAAGGCGCACTCGCACACACCTTAATGCACACACATGCACATGCCTGTTACAGTTATCTTACATTTTCCATGCGAGCATCAAGTATACGCACCGCTGGCAGTTATTTTGGCTGCCAGTTGACAGCCTTTCGCATGGGCAAATCCTGCATACATCCATCCCCTGCAGCCACTGCATACCATGAGTTTGTGTTTGTGTGTGTGTGTGTGTGGGCATAGTGGATCCACTAATTGATGGGTGGTTCGTGCGTGCAGTCTTGACTTTGCATAATGAGGGTGAGAAATCAAATAAACGCACAAGGCATCGCTAATTGGATGTGTTGCAGGGTGGAGGGGGAAGGAAAAGAGCAAAGTCCGCAGCACAGGAAAGTCGCAAACAAAGATGCAGTGCATCGACCAAGACATCCCCTTCGTACAGCACGCAGGACCTCGCCGCCAGGTGGGTAGATTTAAATGCGCAAACGAAAACCATTTATATGCAAAACTATTGTTGCACTGCATACAAAATGACTACGGCAATGCCACAGAGCGATAGACATGAAAAGCAGTGAAAGGGAGCGAGAAAGGGAGATTGTGTGCAGAGGGGGAGAAGGGCAACATAAAATGTGGCGCGCGCGAAAAAGCGATTTTCCATGCAAATGACGCACATTTGCCCGGCGCCAGGCCAGTGGAGGTGAAGGAGCCACCACTGCGTTGCCATCTTTTGGCTGCCATGCGAAATGCATACAAATGCAAATAGTTCACAGTTCAATGCCGCCATTGCTGTTGCTGTGTTGCCAGAGCGTTGCCTGGCAAACAAACGCATAAATATGCAGTCAGCAGGAGAGCTGAAGAGCAACAGCAGCAGCAGGAGCAGCACCAGCAGCAGTACAAACAATGCAACAAAAAAAAAACAAAAGAAATATGCAATAAACACGCACATGCCGCCGCCGCTGTCAGATACTCAGAGAAGACGACTGCAGGCTGCAGTCGCATGTTGCAGGGACAAAGCGATGCATCGAAAATTTAATAAACCAAAACGTGAATGCCGCACACATAAAGGGATCGCGATGGGGAGCAATACATCCGCTTTTCCGCCTGCTGAGACGGAAGGTATCGATGTCGCTGGCTGCAAGACGCGTTGCTTTTGACAGGTTGCACACACAAACACACACACACACACATTGTCTCCCTTTCTCTCACTCTGTGGCAGCCTGCCGCCAGCCTCCTGCCACGCAATCAACTTCCATTCACTGGGACAGAAACAGCTTCGTTTTGTGGCAATCCGATGGCTGTGCTTTGTGCTAATGAAAATGACTTCATTATATTTTCGAAACGTAAACAATTTACGCAATTAGTGGCCGAGCATGCAATGCAATAATACGGGCACACCACAGCACCAGAGCACTAGAGGACAAGAACAACAGCAGGATACTCGTACAGAGCAGCAAGAGCAACAGCAAAAGCAACATCATGGTGTGCAATCGAGCAAAGCGGCAACTAATGAGCGCAGAGTGTCATAACTACAGAAACAATGCCAGGTAACACACACACACACACACACGGACATACACGTATATGCCATACAATAACTGTGGCACTAACCATAACAGTAAAGGACAGGGGCCAGAGCCAAAGACTCCTACCAGCCAGACACTCGCAGACACTAGCAGACACTCGCAGACAAGAGACAGTTGCAGAAATATTACCAGTTCATTTACCTGTTTGCTACGTGTGCGGCAAGCAGAGCAGAGCCGAGCAGAGAGTCCCGGGGTCAGACTGCAGCCACTAAAAGAAAACGCCAATGGAGTGCGCTGCCACAGATCCAGATCTCCACTCACACAACCGGGCATTCAACGGTTCGCAAATGCACTTCAAAGTCCACCTCCTCCACGCATTTATGAGGCTGGTTTGGCAGTCACCTGAAGGCTAACTGGTAACTGGTGCCAATGGCATTTGGGAAAACAATAATACCCTGACACTATGGTGGGTCGATTGTTTCCCAAGATGCAGCTCAACAAGCAGAAGAGCGCTGTGAGGGAAGCAAAGTTTTCCACAGGAAAAGCTCTCGCACTTCATTAGTTTTTACAAGTTTCCTTTTATGATTGTTCATTTGCCAATTTACAATCAATATCGTGTATAATTTATCCATGTTGTGGGGGAACGAAAAGTTGTCTCCAAGCAAAAGGAAAACCTTAACACCAAATATTTCGAATATCTTTTGACAATGATATGAGCGAGCAGTGAAAATGCCTTACCCAGTCTACAATCAATTCAATTAACATTCCTTATGGAGTACTTATTGGAGGGAAAATATTCAATGTCTCATAATAATTAATATGTGAGCATTCATTGGCCAGTTCAGCGTAATAATATAGCGTAATATCCTGGCCTTTGGGTCAGCTGAAGGACCTCCAAAGGGCATATCTGCTTCGCGTTGCCGTTGGCTACATTCCGTTCACCCTTCAAGTGCATTTAGTTTTAACGAGCCCCCCGTGGCCCCCCGTTCGTTACTCGTTGCTTGCACCCTTAATGTTCTCGACGAGTGCCATTGTACGGCTGTGCCCTTTGTTTTTGCTGGTGTCCTGTCACTGTTGTTGCCATTTCGGTGCGTGGCGGACACTTGGATGAAGGAGGAGCAGCACACGCGGCAGCAGGGGCACAGGAGGCAGCGAAATAGACTCGACTCAGGTATGCAACTATTTACATCATCTATAGCGCTGGGTAATAGTAACGACAGAGGAGCACGAGGGTCTGTGGACAGGCAGAGGGTCAGGGGGCAAACACACTCTTGTACTCTGGCACATAGAGACATAAAAAATAATGCATTTTGTGCACGCGAAAAAATACTCGACATAAAGCAAAAAAGAAGTTAAATAAAATTACAACATAAAGTAAGGCTGTCAGTGTGTGTGTGTGTGTGTATATGTTTTGAAGTGCGCTTGTGTGTGTGTGTGTGTGTGCTGTTTGGCTGTGTTTATATGTGTGTGAATGGCGGACGTTTGGCTAGAAGAAATATCAGAAAATGAAAGACTCGTTGAAACTTGCGTAAAACTTGCTGAAACTGCCAACTGAGGAGCGCCGCAGCAGCAGCAGCAAAAGCAGCATAAGCAACGGAGAAGCAACAGCAACGGGAATAGCAATAACAGCAACAGCGCAATGGTGGCAGCAACATGGGGCAGCAGCAGCAGCAGCACCAGCAGCAGAAGCAACAACAACAACGCCAAACATTCAAACGATGACAAAGTGGACCCTTACTGCATGCCCCTTAGAATGCGTTCGTTGCCGCTGCTGGCACTGAACGTCTGCTCAAAAACTTTCAATTTACTCGTCCTAGTCCGACGGCCAACGTATCTCCTTGCTTGCACCACCCAGCCCCGTCCATGCACCCCCTCTCCTCCTGCCCCTGCCCCTGTGCGTTTGAAGCTTTTGTGTTGCCGCTGGGAATACTTTAGCCGAGGCCCCCAAACAACTGCAGCGTCGTCATCGTCGTCATAGCCATCGTTTTTTTGCTTGCTTCTTTTTTTTCCCCACTTGCATGTAAGTTGCAAAAGTTTTTCAAGGCATATATACCCGTACCGAACCGAACCGTACTCGTACTCGTAGAAAAAAAAACAAAGGAGGAGCTGGCTGGAAAAAGAAATGAGAGGAAGAGCCCGCCCGGCAGAAGTTTGTAGTGGCAGCATAATAAGCACAGGCAAAAATAGCACCACGCTCTCGCCTCCGAGATGTGTAATGCGAATTCTCAACGTGAATGTTATGTTTATGTAAAGTGCAGGTCCCACAATGCCATGCCCCAACACGAAAGCGAGCAGAGAAGAGCGAAATGCGAAAAGCGGGAACCAGGAGGCGACACTGTTGCTGAAGTTTCAACTTGCCACAAGTGCCGAGTGGACCTATACACACATACATGTGTATACATATATTCGCACGAAAGAAAAGGTTTGTGGCAACTGCATTAGAATGCAGAAGGAACCAGAGAATTTGCTGGCCAGAGCTAAGCTTTAAGCGGGGCTTTAAGGCTCGTCGGGGCCCAGGACCCCAATGACAAATCCGCATCCAGCTAAAAAAAAAAAAAAAAACACAAAACAAAAACTAAGCTATAGAGAGGGGGGAGGGGACGCATGTGGTCCACTTTGCAACAAACGAGCGATGTGTGCGTGCGGAGCATTGTTGAAATGTTGCTGTCGCTGCCGAAAACTTGAAAATCCGCGGTGAGCCTGCCCCAACGTGTGTCCTGCAGCAGTTGCAACTTTTGCTGAATGTGTAATAAACTCGCTGTGTGGGCTGCCCAGCCCTAGAGCCAAGTTACGGATGCAAACTGTCCGCAAAAGCATCGGAAATGCTGCGCGAAAAATCGGATTTGCCTGCTGTACTTACAAACACCAGCAGCAGCAGCAGGAGGCGGCCAGCAGGATTTGCCACTGCTGCTGCTGTTGGAAGCATCAGCTCAACAAATCCATGTCCGTGACTGTGACTATGACTGCCCCCCCCATCCATGTCGATTGCACTCGGCCATTTGTATTTGTTGCCGCACCGCAATGCTATTATGTGAAAAGCGCGTTTCGTCCACTGTCGAGCATTGGGGGGACAGTCGCCGTCCAGTGGGTCCCGAACCAGACAGGAGCCGTGACAGGACCAGTAGGTGGCCCCGGCCAGGTGCTGAGAGCTGCTCACCGCGACAGAGCAGAGCAGAGCAGAGAAGCTCAGGCCACGCCACTGCGGCGACATCGATGGCTGGGCGCTTATTTAGCTGCACAAACGAGAAATCAGAAGTGACGTTACGGTTTTGTGCCACCAACCGCAAGCAATAAAAGTCGCAACGACAACCGAATCGGACCCGGACAGCCGGACTGAAGCGGGTGGAAACATTAGCCGGACAGCCACATGGTCACGAGTGCTGGCTGCCGCTGCTCATCTTTCTGTCGCTCTCACTCGTCCTACCCCACTGCCATCACGGGTCTGTGGCCGCGTCTGTTTTCATTACAAAATTGTCGGCGTTCGCTGGCGGCACCGCAATTGACAATTTGCTTTTATTTTATGTTGACAGTTGGGGAATTTATATGGCTGGGCATTGCATTTGATCTGGCCATTTTTCTTAGCCGCTTTACCGACTGGCCACCGACTAAATGGCCAAATGAATGTGGAATGCGTCGAGAGGCCGAGTGGATTTTGGAGAGCATTTGAGAATTAAAGAGTGTCATGTTTGGAGGCTATGGCGGCGGCGGCGACGGCACAGATGCCTCAATAGATAAGCTGCCCTGGTTGCTGGTGTCCAAACATGAGTGCAACATGCAACCTACATTGATACCACGTCCGGCATTCAACTCTCCCTCTTTCTGTATCTCGGTCTGGCAGCTCCAACATCCGATGTTGCCTGTCTATTAAAAGTGTCAGCAATCACTTGTGGGCGGATGCTACTCTTCTGGTCCACCCACCTCTTGTTAGAGGCAAAGGAGCCAGCATCCACGGCAAGCACGGCAGCACGGCAAGCACCGCATGTGGTGGAAGATCTGTTTGCTTTAGATAATGTCGAACCATCTGCCAGGCAGGATATAAAATATTTATAAGTTTCGCTTGCCCACAACTGGCTGCTCGATTCAGTAGCAACCGTCGATGTCCCTGGCATCCTTGGCGTTTCATTAAAATCGCACTGCGACACGGACGTTACCTTGGATATACATATATACTGCCCACTACATATCCATAGACTACATGTTTGTGTGTATATCTGGAGCTTCATTTACGGGTATATATGTATGCATGCATGCAAGAAGAGAGGCTCCTTTGAGGCTCTGCTTCGATCGCCTGAATGGCCAAATGCTCATTTGTCATTATTGACAGATGTTGCACATTGCACGTTGCCCGTTGGCTGTTGCCCGTTGCCATTTTAATTGGCGGCTTTAATGAAATGAGCTGCCTGGCCAGGCCTGGCCCGGTCTGGTCTGGTCTGCTCTGCTCTTTCCTGGCACCATAAATGACCTCGCTGCTCAGTGAGGCCAGCCGAGGAAATTCCACTCATCCCATTCCATTCCATCTATCTGAAGCCATAGCCATCCAAGCCGCCCAATGACTTCCCACTTGATTGGCCATCTGCATTCGCAGTCGTCTGCGCCAAAAGTAAATCCCTGTGATTGCAGATTGCACTTTAAGCGTTAATGATTTATTTGCCCGCATGGATTTTATTTAAATGCCGAACGATGCAGGACCGTTGGTAATTTCATTTTGTTTGTGGCACAATAGGCTTCCCACGCTCCCCGCTCCACGCTTCCCTCTACCACCATCCACCAACCTTTCACTTGTCTATCCACTACTATCGCTACTTTCAACTCTCCTAACTTTCAACGACTGCTCCACGTACTAATTGCAGATGGACCTGTCGATCTGTCCACCTTTTTGAATCACGGTCTGTCAGGTTAGTCTCTCTCACACTCACTCTCTCTCTTCTCTTCTCTTCTCTGTCTCTATCTCCAACTTGCACTTTCTCTTATTATCTATATATATTTATCTCTCTCTCTCTCTCTATACGTATCATATCTCTGTCTCTCTGCATGTTCGCATCTGCATGATATTTTTATTTATTTTAAAATACCTTGTACATAAATCTAAATATTTGTGCTAAGCTGGGCAAGCAAACAACAAAAAAAGCGAAGCAAATCCTGAAATAAAATTGGAAAAAATCAAAACGATTCGCATACACCTATCGATGGGCTGTCCGTCCGTCCCGTGTCCGTGTGTATTTGTCCGTGCAGTTTAGCAACTATTTTGCGTGCCATTTCCGTTAACCATTCCCAGGCCTCGATCGACAACAGAAATAAAAACCAAAGCCAAAATATAATAAAAAGTAGAACATCAAACGAGTTTTAATGGATACCCCATTGAAATTCCGCTTAGTCTATATGGGTTTATATATCTGTACATACATACATATGTATGTATGTACAGAAGTACTCATGTGTGAGAGGTGCTTTTTGTACATTTCAATCGGTTCACTTGCATGCCCAATCAATTTGTTTTATGGCTGTAGCCTCTCCGTCATGCATATTGAAAAGCATTCCCAGTGTGATTCCAAATAATTGCATTCTAAATGATTTCGGAATGTTTGAAAGTTGATTAAAATATATAAATATGTATGCCTTGAATTTCTTTATTGTAGATAACGAGATGCGCGATCTGAGTGTCACCTTCTATGGGAGCAGTGCCATCAACAGGCAAAAACTGGGACTCCTGGCCCTCAGCTCGGCCACGCTGATCCTCAGCCTTGTACTGGCCTAAATTCGATTATAATTTGCTTTCGATTTAAGTTACGGATCTCACCGCCAATAGCAAAGTAAAACGTATCGTTTGGGATTTTGTTTTTGCGAGCTGCAGCAGCAGCAGGATACACTCTAGTCGTAAATGGTAGCCTAAGGAAAGATATATATATACACATATACCATATATGTAAACGTAATTATAGACATTCCTGCTACGATTTCTCCATCTTCAATTCAAGATTCTCAAGCAAACAAAACAAAAACAAAACGAAAAAAAAAACCAAAAAAGGAAATCCAATTTCAAATTTAAATCATGACTAACCAAAACGGAATAAGGAACCATACATTCTACGTGTAACAATCAATGTAAAAGAGCATAGAACTGTTCAAACTAGGAACCATTTATGCGTACGGCAACTAACCATATGAATACACCCATACACCCATACACTCATACACTCATACACTCATACTTGCAGACCATTCAGAGCAGAGCACTCAGAAAATCCAAGTGTAAATAGATTTTATCCGACATACTTTTAGGATTAAGCTGCACCAAAGAAATAAAATAATATAATATGCATAGGTATGCATGCACATATATATATGTAATTGATCGATCGGCCAGTTGACCATATAAACCATACATACATACGTATATATCCATATATATGTATTTAAGCTTCAGTGCGTGCATGTGCATCTGTCACAGGCAAATGGCAAAAGGAAAATGGAAAACTGCAGCATTATGCAAATAGTTAATTTAATTAATCTATAAATTCATAAACTAATTATCGGATATGCAATAACCGCACCACACACAACACTACACACACATTTTAGTTAAATTAATTTGTGAAAAATACAATGTTAAAATCAAAGCAAAATCGTGAAAAAGATTCCACTGATTTGCATCATTTTGAAGCAAAACGTGTCATGCCACAAACACAAACACACACACACACACACAACACAAACGACACATTTTGATGGCTTAAAGCAGACAACAGACAGAATTTTTCTAGCTTTTTGCAAACATTTGTATGTACGTACGTAGGACCTAAGTAGCTTAATTGACCGCATAAATGCAAGTAAATTAGTAAAAAAAAAAACAAACAATTGATTGAATCGTGTAAATTAATCAACTGCAAAGGAAGTCAGGCCAGAGAGAAACAGAAAACTTCCATGTGGATTGATTAATTTACAATTAACGCATAATGTACATATAGAAAAGGTAGCGGCAGCGGCAGAAAGGAGCAGCAGGATGGCGCGAACAGGGAATGGCAATGGAATGGCAATGGAAACGGAAGTGCTAACTAGGACACAAAAATAGCTGCTAGTAACTATATTAGTAGATACTTTATCCGTAAATACGAGTATAACCAAACAAATTGTAAGTGTTTAGATCCAATCCGCAAACATACACCGACGCAGGGTGTGGCCAAGAGGTTGTTTTATGTAAATACATGTAGAAGTGCACCCACAGATATTTAGCATCACACGATAAAGCAAATATAAATATATATATATGTATGTCTTCGATATTGTTGCTTCAGATGGCAGATCGCGCACCGTTCGTGTTTGGTTTTTCCGGCACCCTGTATTATCGTTTTTAGCAAAAATCCAAAGCCAAGCAAGAAATGCTCTCTAGCTGCATGTATTGTATGTGCAATTTAGTGTATAAGCAAACACATACATTACGAGTATATAGCATACATATGCATAAACATATATATTGAAATTATAGGAATGCCAGCAATGCCAGGCCAGGCATACGCGTAAGATAGATACACTTATGCAACACGAGCATTGCTGTGGGTGTGTAATTTTATTTCCGGATAAATTAAAAATATTTGAGTACACAAGATACACACACAGTTGGCTTCTATAGAATGGAGGAGTGCGGGAGCGGGAACAGAATTCCAGAGCCCCAAATTGATATAGAATTATATGAATATATGTGTAATTAATAAGCGATGTCGTGCAATTCGCTAGACAAAGGCTACAGAGTAAATTGAATTAACGTCAAGTCATAATCTATGTTTATGTGTATGTAAATGGATGTGTAATCGCAACAAAAGATACAATAGATACACCCCCTCCACTCCCACTGCCCACGGCCCAGTTCCGATTACACCACCCTCCACCCCATTTGAAAGATAATGCTTTGGTCCAGCGATAAGGTAGCTAAAATTAATCGAGGATATGTACATATATTGTATGTATGTACACCTGACTATATAGAGGCGCTGCGATGCCATTACTTGAATGTGTAATTTACGGTTTAGTTATGTAATTGTATTTAGTTAATGCCGACGAGACGAGACGCGCCCGACCACCACATCGTCCGTCGCACGATTCTACTTTAATCTCAACATAATATTACATATACAATATTATAATAATAATAATATGAATAATAATAACCGAACACACCAGAACATCTTCTGTATTGAATGTATATGTGACTAGAAGCGTATGTGTATGTATATTTGATTATTTTGTAAAATTTTTCAAAAACTATAAATAAAGTCTATATTAACATATAAATGTAAACCCGAGGGCCCGCTCCTCAGCCTTCTTTGTCATAATTTATGCAATTTTCTCCATTCAGAAGATCCATGTGTGTAGTTATCCACTTCTGATACCTGAATTACCTACTCCCCCACCACCACTCCACACCCATGACGATGACGATGACGATGATGCTCATCAAGCTCATCTCATGGCCCTGTCGTACTGCCGCCTGCTGTCTGCAGGATAAATACAAATACAGATGCAACTTCAAGAAGGGGATTGCCTGAAACGGGAAGCGTAACAAGATGGGCTCCAGCAGCAAGGAGCACGGAGTGCACGGAGTGCATGATGCATGGCCACAGCAGCTTGAAGGGATCTGAAGTTGCGTAAATGCAAACTTGGTTTATTTTATTTACTCCAGCTCCAGTTGTCATAACCCACCTTTTGTATGGTCTGCTACTCCTTCAGGAGGATGCCTGTGTAGACATTTAAGTGGGGGGAAACCCGCACCCCACCCCGCACTCCGAGCTCTGCACTCCCCTCTACCATTTCCCATCCATGTGATGGAATGGAAATGAAAATGGAAAAGTTTTCATGTTGCCACTGTTGGGGCGAGTGGCGGGATGGATGAATGGCAACTGGTTACACAAGCACTGCTGCCTCCCAGCTTGAGGAAAAACTTTAAATGGAAAATTTGACAGTCAGACATAACGGTATTTTAAATATGATTCACATCCACATCCACTTCCACATCCACATGACACGTGTGCGTCCCAACACCGAACTTGCATTGAAATCAGCAGGAGCCCAGCCCATGCAAAATGTTCTATGAGAGTGCCGCAAAACTCTGCTTCACATATGGAAAACCCAAATCGAAAGTGGTTGGCTCCAGTGGGGCTAGCAAATTGAAAAGTTTCGCCAGCTAATGAAAAAAAAAAAACGCCATGCAACAGCAGAGAGGGGACGTGCCAATGGCCTTAACAAATCGCCGGACCATTACGGCCACGTGCTGCCTGCCAACGAACTGCATTTGTTTAATAATTTGCCTAAAAATAAAAGCAATGCCAAGGCAGGAGGCACTCAGCGCACGGCACTCGGCACACGGCAATTGCAAGGTGCAAATGGCATAAAATTACCGCAAAGAACCAGCGACCCAATAAGCAGCTTCCCCACGTGTCGTGCCACGAATGAAAGTGAATGGAAAGTATGCAGAGAGGGGTGAGGGAATGTGTAAAATTTTCCCGGGGAGCGTGAGTAGCAGGGTGGGGGGGGGGGGGCAGAAACAGAACAACGGCCAAACAAGGCACCAAATGTTCGTTCCATGGATGAACATACATGTGTGTGTGTGCGCGTCTGCGTGTGTGCTCCTCATTTCCGTCCATTGTTTTTGGGCCGTGCACAGCAGTCTACGGCTGGGCTGGAGCTGGGCCTGGGACTGGGACTGGTTCTAGTTCTGGTTCTGCTGCTGCTGCTGCTTCTGGGTGCTGTTCCCATTGCCATTCTATCGCCTTCCTGTTGTCGTTTGGGCTGCTGCTGTTGCTGCTGTTGCTGCTGTTGCTGCTGTTTTCACGTTATGAGCTACTTGTTGTCCTGGTGCCTGGTGCCTGGTGACTGGTGCCACACACACATGCCGCACACATCCGTAGGCCTGTGCTGCATGTGTGTGACATGTTTACATAAAGTCCTTTACCGCTTCTAATGCATTATGGCAACAGCACGAATGGGGCTCGGCCGTCGTACCGAAACCAGGAGACCTGGCTGAATGCAACAACAGAGGGAGCAACAGCAGCAGCAGCAGCAACAGCAGCAACAGCAGCGACAGCGGCAGCGGCAGGTTGAAATATCGCAGACGCATCGCATACACACACACACACACACCAGTGCATAAATATTTGCATATGAAATTTATTATGCTAAAAATAAGCCAAGATTTAAAAGCGACGACGCGACGCCTCGTCGGAGCTGACGAAATAGGGCCAACTTGCACTCGCACACTGGCAGAGGTAGGGTGGCACCGAGGGAGGAGGGAGAGCTACATAATGAAGGCGAGGCGCGGTACCAGCAAATGTCATGACAACTCTCACTCGAGCAGCCTTCACACCTGCCTGCCTCTCCAGCCAGGGCCTATTTATGTGGCACGGCATCGTCTTTTGCCCCAACTCGTTTGACTGTGGGATCTTTTACAATTTGCTTCCCCCTTTGTGCGGCCGGAAGTGGGTCACGTATGCGCACCTCAGACTCGCATTCCGGCCAAGACAAAGCGCTGCAGCCTGTAATTAAGCCCGCAATGATGACGCCGCCGCCGACGCCGCCGCCGCTGCTTCCAAATGGGCTCGACATTTGTTGTTCAAGTACGCCTTCCTCCGGATGCTAGAATCGAGGGAAATTAACTTAAATTTTAAGCGTGTAGCTGGAGCTGGAGATCAAGCTGGAGCAAAAAATTTCTAAAGCTTAATTCGCCTGGCTGTTTGTTAAGCGAGCACTAAGACGTCTGTAATGCGTTTAGCGACAGGCATTTGCATGCTTTTAGGCGCGCCACATCATCAAACAAAACCCAAACAAAACAAAAGCCAAGCCCAAGCCAAGCCACGCCACGCCAGAAAATAAAAGAAAAGAAAACTCGTGATAGGCGAATGCTGTGCTATAAAAAAGTGCCAAGCAGCTAAATCCATTTTCCACAGCAGCAACAACAGCCAGGCAGTTTGAAGGATTGTTTCCCCAGTGCGCCCACTGCCTCCACGCCACAGTGTCTGCCCTGCGCCTGACTGTTGACTGCCAGACGCTGGGGATGGGGACGTGGACGTGGGTGAGATGGGGCTGTGCGTGTAACAAGTGCCACTCAAAAGGCTCGCTGGAAACAATGAAAGCAAAAAGCACTTAATAGGCTGCCACAGCGGCGTTGACATGGCCATTTATATGCCGCAACTTGGCAGCGTTTTTAATTCATAATGCACATCACAAAGAAAGCGGAGAAGTGGGGGGAGGAGCACCAAGAAGGTGGATCTGTGTGACGTGCCCCTGAACAGGATGTTCAGGATGTTGACTGCCAGCGGCAGAGCTAACAAACTTTCCGACACTCTCCCCTCTAATCCAGGGATCCAGGCATCCAGGATGCTG